ACTCAAAGCCTGGCACGCAGCTTCCAATTCTCCCTCACAGAACACATGGTAGAAATGATGAAACACAGGACTTGAGTCATGGCATCCTGCTGGGCCAAATGGCTCAACAGGTTTGTCTTTACAAGGATTTCCTTTAAGGTGCCAGGGAACCAGTACATCTTGAGAGTGAAAAGAAGTCCTGTTAATGTGAATAGGCAGCTGAGAATTAGCAGCCTTCCTTGAATTACATCCTGTCTCCTGAAAGTCAATAATGGAGGGGACAGAAGAGGCTGAGTCTTGATTGCCAGGCATGTGCTCCACAAGCAACCCCTGCATTGATGTGTCACTGATGATCTCCTCTTTCTTTCCTTGGCTAATTCTGTTTCCTCTATGATACTTGGACTTCTGCTTCGTATGTTCTTGTTCCATTGCCCAGACATAAATGAGTGCTTTCCCTTTCCCACCAGGTCTCAGGAGTCGAACAAGTTCTTGGAGAGCTGCCACTCTACGCTCCTAACTGCCACTCTATGCTCCTAAGAAAAAAGAAAAACATACACACACACACTGCCATTTATGAACCCAGAGGAGATACCAAGAGGATATGGGAAAATATATAACTGACTGTAGGACTGTTTTCCACTAGAACGAACCGTAAGAAACCTAACAAAATATCTTATATAAAACAAAAAAGAAGAAAAGGGGGGAAGAATAATTTTGTTCTGTGATTAAGAAAAAAAGTATTGAGAAAGTAGGGGAAAGGAAATTTTCATTTGTTAATCTTCCATGTGTCTTTTTCCTTAACTGAATGAGTGGGATGCATGGAACAACTGGTGACCTATGAGCAGTAATATTCACTTTTAGAGGTAAACCATTACATTTATAAAATGCTTGCTGTACAAAGGAATTGTGCACGCTATATTATGGAGACGTCTATTTATAGCCTTGATGGAGTAGTTTGTATTAGTTATCCCACTGAAAACAACCACAAAAAGCTGAATGAAAACATAAAACAACTGCTTAAAGACATTGGAGAGCAACATTGCAAGCTGGACTTGAAAGGCTATAATCCCTGAAAGAAGGGAATTAAACCAAGGTGAGCTCTACATGTACCCCAGCTTTTCTCTGAGATTATTTGCTAATTCACATTGTGGGGGAATAGAATACGAGCAGAAAGCAGAGGGTATTCGACAATTCCTAAGCTGCATGTGCACAGGGTGAACTTCTAAAACCCTCAGCAGAATAGCAGCTGGGAAGTTAAAAAGCTAAACAGAGATTTTAGTAGCCAAACAATGCTGAGAGACAGACACTAGAGTTTATAGCCCACCAAGGTGAAATGGCCTTGGCATACACTCAGTGCTTTCACTTGACACACAGAAGGGCTGCACCTCAGAAGTAGAGACAAAACTAAAATAGACATAAATCAGCCCTACTAAAGCATAAAACTTGTTCTCTACAGAATTAAAGTGATCTGCTTGTACTATATCTGCTTGTCCTAAGAAAATTTAACCCTCTTAGGAGGAAGATAAAAGTATCCAAACCTTTTGATACCAATGTCCAGTATCCAATCCAAAATTATGAGGCATGCTAAAAACAATCATGACCATTGACCAAAAATCAGAGAAAAAAGAAAGACCATAGAAATAAACCCCCAAAGAGTTTAAAATAACTATGGTTAATATGACCTAGCAATCCCACTATTGGGTACTTATCCAAAGGAATGGAAATCATCATGTTGAAGGGATACCTGCACTCCCATGTTTACTGCAGCTCTACAACAGCCAAGAGTTGGAACCAACCGAAATGTCCATCAATGGATGACTGGATAAAGAAAATGCAGTACGTATAGACAATGGAATACTACTCAGCCAATAGAAAATAATAAAATTCTGCCATTTGCAGGAACATGGATGAGCTTGGAGAAAATTATGCTAAGTGAAGTAAGCCAGGCACAGAAAGAAAAACACCACATGTCCTCACCATATGTGGAAGCTAATAAAGTTGATTTCATAGAAGTAGAGAGTAGAATAGTGGTTGTTAGAAACCGGTAAGGAGAGTGGGGATAAAGGACAATTAATTTTAGAAAGAATAAGATCTAGTGTTCTACAGCAATACAGAGAGGCTACAGCCAACAACAAATTACTGTATAACCTCAAGTAGCTAGTTGAGAGGATGCTGAAAGTTCCCAACACAAAGATGTGACAAATGTTTGAGCTGATAGATATGCTGAACACCTTGATATGATCTTTGCACAAGTGAAAATGTACCCAAATATCACATTGTACTCCATAAATATATATAATTATCATAGGTCAATTAAGAAAAAATAAATTTAAAAAAAATCAGAGACAGAAGTAGATTAGAGGTTACTAGAAATGGAGGGGAAGTAATAATGAGAGTTATTGCTTAATGGGTACAGAGTTTGTGTTTAGGATAATGAAAAAGTTTTGGAAATAGATATAGGCAGTGGTTACATAGCATTGTGAGTGTAATTAATTCCACAAAATTGTATGTTTTAAAATGCTTAAAATAGAAATTCTTATGTTATATAGTTTTACAACAATAAAAAAAGAATTAATTAATTAACTATAATTAATATGTTCAAAAACTAGAAGAAAAGATCAAGATTTCAGTGAAGACATATGAAATCAGACAAATTCTAGAACACAATAAACAATGGATGAATTTGATAGCAAATCAGACACATCTGCACAGAGAATTATTGAACTAGAATTTGGATCAGTAAAAATTACCCAGATTGAAGCACAGAGATAAAAAAGAATGGAAAATACAGAAAACAGTGTCAATCTAGAACTCATACGCTCTCCTTTTAAAGTCCTCAGAATGCAGCCCATGACCACCAGTAAACCATCAACTTATTAATCCATCTACTAGGGCAGGGTCCTCACAATCTAATCAGCTCTTCAAGGCCCCACCTTTCAACTACCATAACAGGATTTCCCACGCTCTTACCACTGTCACAGTGGGGATTGAGTTTTGGGGGGACACAATTCAATCCATAATACCAGTTTATAAAAAGGGTTAAAAACAATTATTAAAATAATAATAACTAACATTTACTAAGCTCTTACATGTGCAAAACACTATGATAAGCACTTTGTATAGATTGTGTCATTTATGCTGACAACAACTCCATGACACAGGCTATTATCACTGTCATTTTACAGATGAGGAAGCTAAATATTCAGAGATCACTAAAAATATTTGCTCAAGGTCACAAAGATAAAAAGAATGTAAAAGTATACAGTAGAGGCAGGGGTATTAGGGAAGAATAGTCTGGCACCGGACTGTAAAATAGATTAAAAAGAGATATCCTGGGATTAAACAGGTTGGAGAGAACATTGTAGGAACAAAGGAATGAAGTACAGGGCAGCAGAACTCTTTCACTAGTACTTTAATTCCCTTATAATTAAAGTATTGTATTGTCTCCAAATACTTGGACTATTAAAATAGCCCTATTAAAACTGCCTTTCCATATTCAATCTTGCCTTCTACCCTAAATCATCTTCTACAGTGCCATAAGAACAACCTCTATAAAGCATATATCTTATGTGTTAAAATAGGAGAAAGCATCTTCAGGATGAGTAATTTATAGAGAAGTGAATTAATGGGAAGAAATTTGTGAGGATTTTTCCAAGTTGGGTCTAAGGAATTGGAGACTATTGGGAAATTATACCAAAAATGTGAGATAAGACTAGTTGTATTAGTCCGTTTCTGATGCTTATAATAGAAATACCCGAAACTGGGTAATCTGTAAAGAAGCAATATGTATAGCTTAAGTTTTGGAGGCTGACAAGTCCACAGTCCAGGGAACACATCTGGTGAAGGCCCTGGTGGTGGTGACAGTGACACAGGGGTCTCACATGGCAGAACAGTGGAGCAGAGACAGAGACAGCTCCTCATACGCTCTCCTTTTAAAGTCCTCAGAATGCAGCCCATGACCACCAGTAAACCATCAACATATTAATCCATCTACTAGGGCAGGGTCCTCACAATCTAATCAGCTCTTCAAAGCCCCACCTTTCAACTACCATAATCGAATTTCCTACGCTCTTACCACTGTCACAGTGGGGATTGAGTTTTGGGGGGACACAATTCAATCCATAATACCAGTTTATAAAAAGGGTTAAAAATAATTATTAAAATAATAATAACTAACATTTACTAAGCTCTTACTATGTGCAAAACACTATGATAAGCACTTTGTATAGATTGTGTCATTTATGCTGACAGCACCTCCATGACACAGGCTATTGTCACTTTCATTTTACAGATGAGGAAGCTTAATATTCAGAGATCACTAAAAATATTTGCTCAAGGTCACAAAGATAAAAGGAATGTAAAAGTATACAGTAGAGGCAGAGGTATTAGGGAAGAATAGTCTGGCACCAGACTGTAAAATAGATTAAAAAGAGATACCCTGGGATTAAACAGGTTGGAGAGAACATTGTAGGAACAAAGGAATGAAGTACAGGGCAGCAGAATTCTTTCACTAGTACTTTAATTCCCTTATAATTAAAGTATTGTATTGTCTCCAAATACTTGGNTCTTTCACTAGTACTTTAATTCCCTTATAATTAAAGTATTGTATTGTCTCCAAATACTTGGACTATTAAAATAGCCCTATTAAAACTGCCTTTCCATATTCAATCTTGCCTTCTACCCTAAATCATCTTCTACAGTGCCATAAGAACAACCTCTATAAAGCATATATCTGATCAAGGGACTCCCAATGTAAGACCTTAATGGCTCTCAAAGTCCAAATCATTAATATAGCATTCGACTAACAACATATAAATCCAAACCAACAAGTAAATAAACGCTGCCTCCTCAACTAGACTATGAGCTCTATGAAAGCAGGGACTGAGTCTGCTCCATCTTGCATCCCCAGCTATTTGATTAATTCCAGCATGTAACTGATTTTTCAATGAATTTTTTTATTGTGGTAAAATATACATAATATAAAATTTACCATTTTAGGGGGAAGAGGAACAGGTAATAGGTCATGAAAATCAACTACAATGTATATTGAGAAGTTAAAAGAAAAAAATAAAATAAAATAGAGGGGGAAACACACACACACACACACACACACAAAATTTACCATTTTAACCAAAATGGTAAATTTTATATTATGTGTATTATACACACACGCATATTACTGTTTTATATAACTTGAAGGTAAAGACAGTCCATGGCCACTGAGTTGTGGATGAAGGGGGCAATGTGTGCCAAACATTTCTTCCAAATAAAAGGGATTTTTAATTTACTGGTATAGCTGCTGCTTGTGAGCTTTTCTCTGTTTGCAATAGTGCTTCTTAATAAACTGATGTCTGGTGGCTTTTGCTATAAAGAGCTCCCTTACTCTGTTTACTGCAGCCCAGCAGAATATCTCGGTTACTATTAAAAATAAAGAACTAGTGATTGAGGAGACAAATGACAAAGAGGGTGTTCTAATTGATAGCTGGCCAGTTGGCTCAGCTGGTTAGAGCATAGTGTTACAACACCAAGAACAGAGGGTTCAGATCCCTGTACCAACCAGTCACCAATCAATTGTTTTGAACTCAGTTAAGGTCATAAGGTCTACTGAAACTGCCAGTGACCCATAGGGTGAGCTATAAAGTTATTTCTTAGATCAGGAAAGACACTGTTGACACTCAGGAAAAATGAATGGTGGGTATTTTTCTATAAAGAAAATACAAAATTTTAAATTCACTTATTTTTAAGTTAAGAACATATGTGACCAATTAAAAGCATTAACATACTGTTAAAAGCTAAATAAGACAGTCTTGAAAAAAGAATAGGAAAAGAGGAAAAACAGAATGGAAAGGAAGTAAGACTCACGTGTCAGAGATGAGAATGTGGGTTGAGAAAGATGGAAACAGAAATAGAGAAGGGACTCAGAGACTGAGGAGAGAGAATACTCAAGAGGCCTAGAGCTGATAAGCTCAAAGTCTCTTCCAGTAAACATTCTGTGATTCTGTGGGTTTGAAGGAAGGCATTTAGGAGTGACTGAGACTTGGGGTAGAAAAAAAGCAAAAATATGCAATAGTAAACGCAGAGAGTCCCACCAGGCCTCTGCTTAGGTAAACATGACTCCCCTGTAGCCCAGCTTCATTCTGCATACTCTCTTAACAAAGAGGGCAAATTGTGTGACAAGAGAAGAGAAAGGAAAGAAATCGGTCCAAAATCAGTTGGCAAACTTTTTCTGTAAAAGGCCAGATGAATATTTTAGGCATTGAGGGCCACATAGTCTCTGCCAAATATTCTTCATTGTTTTGGAGAGGGTTTTTTTGTTTTTTTACAACCCTTTAAATATGTAAAAACCATTCAGCTCAAGAGCTATACAAACAGGCTGAGGGCTGAATTTGACCCATTTGCCATAGTTTGCCAACCCTTGCTATAAACAATGTCATTGTTCTTAGGAAATACACAATAAAGCATGTAAGGGTAAAGGTAAAGGGTCATGTTGCCTGTAAGTTATTTTCAAATGATTCAGTAAAAATAATAATGATAACATATTTGAAAGAGAAATAAAAGATGTGGTAAAATGCTCACAATTGGTAAATCTAGGTGAAAAGTGAAGGAAGTTCACTGTAGTATGCATGCAACTTTGCTTTAAATTTGAATTTTTTTTTTTTTTAATAAAAAGGTAATGTTAAAAAAACGAAAAAAGCTATAGATCCTTCAAAGGAAAAAAAAAACCAAAAACAAACAAATGAAAAAAGCTATAGATGCTCTTAGGAGGTTTGAACCCAGAAGCCTCAATGTATTGGCATAGGGCACAGTTCTTCAGACAGAGAAGAATAAGAGGTCTCACAAAGCAAAAGTTATCCTATCACCAAGGTCATTTTAATACATACCCATGGTCCAAAGGTATCTAGGTTCTCCTGTCATCACCAGCAAACTCCGACGAGGCAACATAACTGGCACCGTGACACCATCTGGGTGCTTAAAATCCATGACAATCTTGAAGCAAAGACAAAAGCAGAATGATCAATCCAAAATCTCATGTATTCAGATAGGAATGATTCATTGATTCTAGCTGTCTTTCCAAGCTAACAGACATTAAAATATGATAACGCTTATGGAATAGCATAGCATAGTGGTTCTCAAACTTCAGTGTACATAAGAATTAAGTGAATAACAAAAAACACACCTCATCCACAGAGATTCGGACTTAGGAGGTCTGGAGTGAAGCTCAGGAACCTACACCCCAGGAAATTATGAAGCAGGTGGTCTGAGGATCATATCACAGAAAACACTAAGGGTAATGGTCGAACACAGGAACTTTAGAATGGAAACATTCATATCCCCACTCTTCCATTTACTAGCCGTGTCACCGAGGACAAGCCATTTAACCCTTTTGCGCTTCAGTTTTCCCAACCCTTACAGGGTTATTACAAGAATTATATAAACCACAGTGCCTGGCACATAGTAAAAACACACAAAAAATAGCTATATTGTTTCTATTATTCATAGAATGT